ATCTCTCCCCTGTCAACACCAGCAGAGCAATACAAAGCAGAATGCTTACATAGTAAAACACACACAGGCCACATAGTAAAGCAGCACACTGTTAACCCTTTGATCGCCCCAGATGTTAACCCCTTCCTGACCAGTGTCATCATTACAGTGTCAGTGCTTATTATAAGCACTGATCACTGTACTAGTGTCATTGGGATGTCAGTGGCAGTTAGTCAGTCCCCCCCCCCAGTGTCAGAATGCTCCTCGCAGTCCCGCTATAAGTCACTGATCGTCACCATTACTAGTATGAAAAAAATTCCAGTATATATACCGCCATTTGTAGACGCTATAACTTTCACGTAAACCAATAATTTACATGTATGGGATTTTTTTTTGTAGCAAAGACATGGAGCAGAATCAATTTTGGCCTAAATTTATGACGAAATTAGATTTTTTTATTATTATTATACAGGATTTATATAGCGCCAACAGTTTGCTCAGCGCTTTACAATATGGTGGGAGACAGTACAGTAACAATACAGTTCAATACAAGAGGGATGCAAGGGCCCTGCTCCTTGGAGCTTACAATCTAGTAGGGAGAGGATAGTGGTGCAAAAGGCAATAACTGTGGGGGATGGAGTGGTTGGGAGAGTAGAGGATTCCAGTATTAGCTGAGGGTGGGGTAGGCTTCCCTGAAGAGATAGGTTTTCAGAGTGCGCCTAAAAGTGAGCAGAGTAGGCGATAGTCTGATAGATTGGGGTAGGGAGTTCCAGAGGAAGGGGAAGCCCTGGAGAAGTCCTGGAGTCGAGCATGGGAAGAGGAGACAAAGGCAAAGGAGAGAGAAAAGGTAGTGTTGGGATTTGGTTTTACACCATAGTCGCTCCAGCGCACGACTATGTCGTTTGAGATTTTTGGTGTGGTCAGTCTGCCAGGGTTGTAGCGGTCGGGGCCTAATGCTTCGTGTTGTTGGGGGTGCAAGCGAGTCTAGAGGGGCTGACAGCGAATTGTTGTAGACGGTAGTGGCCAGGTCAGGGCAGGACAGGGGAAGGATACTGTCGTAAAGATGGTCAGCTGCAGAGTGGAAGGGAGCCGGGTTTAAGTTCCGGAGGTTTCTGCTGGTAATTGTTTGCCTTTTGGAGGGATAGGTGTTTGAGGACGAGGATACGGAGAAGGTGATAAGGTTGTGATCAGAGAGAGGAAAGGGGGTGTTTGTGAGGTTGTAGGGAGTGCAAAGATGAGAGAAGACAAGGTCTAGAATGTTCCCGTTAGAGTGAGTGGTGGACTGTATACACTGAGCGAGCGCAAAAGACGAGGTTATGTGGAAGAGTTGGGATGTAGCTGGGTTATTGATGTTGATAGGGATGTTGAAGTCCCCAAGAATGATAGTGGGTAGCTCTGAGGAGAGAAAGAAGGGTAACCAGGCGGAGAAGTCGTCGAGAAAGCTGGACACGGGTCCAGGAGGCCGATAGATCACTGCAATCATCAGAGAGATTGGAGAGAATAGCTGGATGCAGTAGGTCTCGAAAGAAGAGAAGGATAGAGAGGGAGGGTTTGGGAGGACTTGGAAGGTGCTCAGTGGTGACAGGAGCAGACCAACCCCACCACCTTTCCGACCGCTGGGTCTGGGTGAGTGGGTCCAGATGAGGCCTCCATAGGAGAGTGCTGCGGGGGAGGCAGAGTCTGCTGCTTGGATCCAGGTTTCGGTGATTGCTAAGAGGTTAAGGGAGCGGGAGACAAAAATTTTCTTACTGGATATGTTTTATAGCAAAAAGTCAAAAATAGTTTGTTTTTTTTTTATAGCGCGAAACATGAAAACCACAGAGGCAATCAAACAACACAAAAAGAAAGCTCTATTTGTGGGAAAAAAAGGACATAAATGTAATTTACGTACAGCGTTGGATTACCGCACAATTGTCAGCTAAAGTAATGCAGCGCCGTATCGCAAAAAATGGCCTGGTCAGGAAGGAGGGTAAATCCTCTGGAGGGCAAGTGCTTAAAACAGCAAGTGATGATATCGTCACACATTATTACAATTTCTGGCAGTGAGGCTTTAACCCTTTCGCTGCCTGGCCCTGCTCTCCACTTTTAACTTTAACCGGTTGATGCCGACAGTACGCAAATATGCAGCGTCTCTGTGGCTGGGCCTTGACGCTGAGCAGCCACATATTTGCGTATCAAAAGCAAAACAGACAAGTGCTATAAGCAGGAGCCCTGCATGCTCCTAGCACATTTACCGGCACCTAACGGAAAGGTCCTGATCACTACTTGCAATCAGGACCTTTCCGATCATGTGACCACTGTGACAGCCAATCACGCCGCTCACATGACCCCACCCAACCTCCCATTATCACAAACCCCTTAAAGGGTCGGGAGGCACCGGAGTCAAGGGGTTAAGTGGCCACACCTTTTTTTGCTCTCTCACCCCCCCATGTTGAAAGCATGTGCCCTGGTATGGTTTAGGAAGATAGATTCTGCACAATTGTCAGCCCTTCCTCCCGAGCTGGCCAGGCTACATGCTCAGATAAGGGTCTGGTATAGATTTTTTTAGGGGACTCCACACTTTTTTTCTCAATTTTTTATATTTTTGTATTTTATACCTGGTAAGGATTGTGAGGGAACCTCCACGCCCCTTTTTTATTAACACTGGCACCTTTCGATGCAGTCACCTGTAAGCCAGGTGGGGATGAGTTACTGGTCGTTAGGACGCCAAATGGTTGCTGGCTCAAAAGCGTTTGACACAGTTCCCCACACACTGCTAAATGTGTAAGATAAAGTCCACGGGCTTGGAAAAATCCGTATGTAAATGGATAGAAAACTGGCTAAAAGATTGTATTCAAAGAGTAGTGGTTAATGATTCATACTCTAAATGGTCTAGGGTTGTCAGTGGTGTACCCCAGGGTTCAGTGTTGGGACCAGGGGCAGACTGACCATTCGAGCACTCGGGCACTGCCCGAGGGCCCGGGGTCAGTAGGGGGCCCCATGAGATGCTCCTGGTACCTTTCATAGGCTTTTTTTGGGTGTGGTTTGAGTGTGGGCAAGGACACAGGGGCCCCATGATCCCCTATTGCCTGGGGGCCTCATGAGTTGTCAGTCCACCCCTGTTTGGGACCCTTACATTTTAATATATTTATAAATGATATAGGGTCTGAGATTAAAAATCCAATTTCAGTCTCTGAAGATGACACCAAGCTGTGCAGTGGAATAACGTCCTTACAGGATGTCTTCAATTTACAAGCTGACCTCAATGAACTGTTTAATTGGGCATCTATGTGGCAAATGAGGTGTAATGTTGATAAATGTAAGGTTATGCACTTGGGGGCTAAGAATATGCATGTATTATACATACTAGGGGGAGTACAACTGGGAGAATCAATGGTGGAGAAGGATCTGGGAGTTCTGGTAGATCACAAAACTTAATAATTGCATGCAATGCCAAGCTGCGGTTTCTTAAGCAAGCAAAATATTCTCTTGTATTAAAAGAGGTGTAGACTCCAGAGAGAGAGATATCATACTACCCCTCTACAAATCATTAGTAACACCTCATATGGAATATGCAGTTCAGTTTTGGGCACCAATTCACAAAAAGAACATTGGGGAACTGGAGAAAGTGCAGAGAAGGGCAACTAAACTGATAAGAGGCATGGAGGAGCTCAGCTATGAGGAAAGATTAGAGGAACTGAATTTATTCTCTCACGAGAAGAGGAGATTAAGGGGGGATATGAACAACATGTATAAATACATCAGTGGTTCATATAGTGAACTCTGTGTAGAGCTATTCACCCTGAGGTCATCACAGAGGACAAGGGGGCACTCTTTATGTCTGGAGGAAAAGAAATTTAATCTCCAAACACGGAAAGGTTTCTTCACTGTGATAGTTTGAAAATGTGGAATAGACTCCCTCAAGAGTTGGTTCTGGCCAGCTCAAAAAAGGCCTGGATTGTTTCTTAAATACACAGAATATAACTGGATACTAACATTGATAGGTAAAGTTTATCCAGGGAGTATCCGATTGCTTCTCGGGGGACCAGGAAGGAATTTTTTTCCCAGCAGGACCAAATTGGATCGTGCTTTGCTTGTTTTTTTTGCCTTCCTCTGGATCAACTGTGGGTATAGGAGTATAACTTTTTTTTACTATGGTTGAACTGGATGGACTTTTGTCTTTTTTCAGCCAGACTAACTATGTAACTCCCTGACAACCAGTAGCCCTGAAAGGGTGCTGTCATATTTAGCAGGGGCAGGAATACTGCTACTAAATGTTTTACTTCCTGTTTTACTTCCTGCTGCAGGCAGTGACCTGGTCTACAATAGAATAAGATGTAAAAAAAAATTTATTAAATACTGCAAACTCAAAAAAGTACTTTTTACCAAAACTATTTAATATGAGGATCAACATAAACTATTCAAATAAATGTGTGTCCAATCAGACATTCCCTTGCATTACGTGCTTATTGATAAATCTAAAGAAATTCTACAATCAAAATGTAGTGTGTATGGTAAGCTTCGGTGGAAGAACTGATCACTAGAGTTGGATTTTCCCTGTTGTTTGCTATTGTCCACTGGGATTAGGCCAGGCTTGGAAGTGTGGGCACAAGGTGTAAACCTGCACACTTGAACAGTTTGATCTTGTATGTTTATGCTGCACTTGTTTTACAGAAGTATCATGATAGCGGTCAGATCTCTTAAAGCAGAATTAAACTCTCTCAATCGATGTGAATTATTTTAAGTCTTTATGCTGCTAGCATTAGTAAATACCATATTTTTTGATCCATAAGACGCACTTTCCCCCCCCCCCCAAAATGGGGAAAAATGTCTCTGCGTCTTATGGAGCGGCCGACCCGGTATTCCCCCCGTGGCCACCTCCATGTTAGAATACCAGGCCGGCTGCTCGGCTCTTCTGTGCAGCAGAACCTGCTCCTTGGTCCTACCTGTTCCTTGGTCCAGCGGTGTCCTCCTCACCACTGGTTTCACTGGCCATCTTCTCTCCCTGGCGCCAGCATCTTCAGTGTGGGCACCCAGCTGTGACAGCTTGCGGCTTCACAGCCAAGTGCCCACTGCACATGCGCGAGAAGCGCTGCGCTTTGTGAATGGTCCCATAGTCTTCTGGGACCTGTCATGTGTCCCAGAAGACTACGGGGAGGGAGGGAGGAGAACTTCCGCTTCCGATCGCCTAGACGATCATAGCAGAAATGGGAGTGAGTACCTGTCAAATTTAGGTACCCGCTCCCCAAAGGTCTGCAGTCTCTGGTCATCTCCTGTACTATGTCCGCAGTCTCTGGTCATCTCCTGTAGTACATCTGCAGTCTCTGGTCATCTCCTGTACTATGTCCGCAGTCTCTGGTCATCTCCTGTAGTACATCTGCAGTCTCTGGTCATCTCCTGTAGTATGTCCACAGTCTCTGGTCATCTCCTGTACTGTCTGCAGTCTCTGGTCATCTCCTGTAATTTATCTGTAGTCTCTGGTCATCTCCTGTAGTATGTCCGCAGTCTCTGGTCATCTCCTGTAGTATGTCCACAGCCTCTGGTCATCACCTGTACTATGTCTGCAGTCTCTGGTCATCTCCTGTACTATGTCTGCAGTCTCTGGTCATCTCCTGTAATATGTTTGCAGTCTCTGGTCATCTCCTGTAGTATGTCCCCAGTCTCTGGTCATCTCCTGTAGTATGTCCGCAGTCTCTGGTCGTCTCCTGTAGTATGTCTGCAGTCTCTGATCATCTCCTGTACTATCTGCAGTCCATTGGTTCAAAATATTTTATTCCTTGTTTTCCTCCTCTAAAAACTAGGTGCATCTTATGGTCAGGTGCATCTTATGGAGCGAAAAATACGGTAGATATGAAGGTATCTTATATTTGTTTGTTTTAAACTTTTTTTTTTTTTACAATACTAGAGTTCCTTCCTGGTTTCTGGACTAAGAAAAAGTAATGTCATACATCCCAGGAGTCTGGATGAGGGGAGGAGGGGCTTTCTCAGGTAAACACACTCTCCTGCCTGCATGCCTGAGCTATAGACAGATGGATTCCAGGAAAAAAATGCTACATGAATCCTCTGCCCTTACTCAAGATGGAAGCAGCTAGAAATATAAGGGGGTTTTTAAATTGATTTTGAAACAAAATACATTTGCTTTGAATATAAAAAATGTATTAAATGGTGTTTTCAGTTTGTGGTGCTCAGGTACAGATACGTTCTGCTTTTAAGCACTCTCTCACTAAATGTGGGTAAATTAAGAATTATTTTGTGGCAGGAATTCAGAACTGGGGCTGCACCACTGCATATGAGGAGGGAAATCATAAAAAAGATTTCCTTATAGGAATAATCAAAGTTCTCCAACGTTTGCACAAGGATGGTATAAGATATTCTTACTGACTGCAATGCAGGAAGGTAATACACAAAGATACTTTACAGGACAGGTCAGGGCTCATTACTCCTCTGAAGGAAAAAAATAAAAACATATGTACAGTAAAGCTAAGTAATGATGGCGTTACAGACTGCAATGAGGTCATCAAATTACACTATCAATGGTCGTGTATGCAACTGAACCTCCCTTAACCTCCCTAGCGGTCTGAATATGTCAGTATTTCTGTGCTCAAAGCGGTAAATTTTTTTTTGCATGGAAATATGTTTTTTTTTTTATTGTAGGACTGTAATTTTTAGGAATAACTCACTGAAACCTGTCCAAACAAGAGTCTAGTAAACATCCCGGGTAGGATAAAACTTGAAAACACAAAATCATAAATTATAATTTAATAAATAATCATAAAAAATAATAATAATATAATAATAATACATTTAATTCAATAATATAATCAAACCAAAAACACTGAAATTTGAAATATAGCGCCAAGTTCGCACATCACTGAGCAAAGTCGCAAAATCGTTTTCAGTGTCTGATGACGAATTTCCCCACGAATCATTATCACTCAATTCTGCAAGTGGTTCTGATTTACTATCGCTGTTCTCTAGCTGGTCTAAAACCGCTTTTGACCTAAAGGGATGCTTTTTGGACGCCATGGACGTTTCTCAGTTTCCAGACAGAAAGAACGGTAAAAATGCAGGCAGGGCACAGGACAAGGCACTAGGGACAAAATGTATGTGAAATGGTTTGATACAGTAATGTTTTACTATGTGATTTTAGTGATTTTAGTGAATGTCACTTTTTGTCATTTTCAAATTTCCTGCCGTTCCATCCCCCGTACGTCCCGACGCTCGCAGGAGACGGAACCCAGATGACAGATGCCGGCATCCGCCTAATTACATTGCTGAGGACACTGCAGGAGGGACATCGCGGGAGCGCAGGACAAGATAAGTGATCGAGGGATCGCAGAGCAGCACCGCATGGTAAGCCAGAGTGTAGCTCGAGGCTACCACTTGTGGTACTGAAACTTTACCCCGAGCTACACTCGGGAATATCGCCAGGGAGGTTAAAGTAGAACTCTGGGTGATCCCTAACTAATCATAAAAATGCTCCCTTGCACCTCCTAACACCTATGCTTAGTAGCCTGTTTAAGAAGATATATATATGTACCTATTTTCATGCCACTCTGGCATGTGATCCGGCTACCCTGTGTCAGCCAGTTTTGGCTGCAGGGGAGAGGAGGGAGAGGTAACATTGGATGGGCCATCAAAGCCTATAGGTGATGTCCCTGCTGCAGGCTGTACCAGGCGTTGTTGAGTACTCGGTCCTCCTCCCCGCAGTCAGCAGCTGGATGATTCAAGGAATCATTCAAGGACCAGCAGGCATGAAAATAGGTAAGTATACAGATCTTTCTTATATAGGTTAGCAACCATAGGTGTTGGGGAGGGACTGTTTATAAAATTAGTTAGGGTTACCCCAGAATTCTAATTTAATGTTTTGAAAACCTCAATGTGACAATGGAAAAAGCTTCCAACTGTTTCCTATTTAGAAGCACCGTTTCTCTTTAAGAACCTAATTCCTTGGTTCCTCTTTTCTCCTCTTTGTCTAATGTATAGACCAGCTAAAAATGTACTGTTTAGCTACCAAAAGTATTAACCACTTGCCCTCCAGAGGATTTGCTCCCTTCCTTACCAGGCCATTTTTTAGGATACAGCACTGCATTACTTTACCTGACAATTGCATGGTCATGCAATGCTGCATGTAAATGAAATTTATGTCTTTTTTTCCCCACAAATAGAGCTTTATTTTGGTGGTATTTGATCACCTCTGCGGTTTTTTTTTTTTTTTGCGCTATAAAAAAAAAAAGGCTGACAATTTTGAAAAAAAAAAAATATTTCTTACATTTTTCTATAAAAAACAGTTATTGAGTCTGCAAATGGTGGTAGATATACTGAAATTTTTATTTTTTAACTAGTGGCGGCGATCAACGACTTATTTGTGGGACTGCGGGGACTGCAGCGGGTATTCTGACACTGGATGGAAACTGACTAACTGCAATTAACATCCCACTGACAATAATACAGTGATCAGTGCTAATAAAAAGCACTGACACTGTACTAATGACACTGGGCAGGATGGGGTTAACATCTGGGGCGATCAAAGGGTTAACAGTGTGCTGTGTTTTACATAATGTGCTGTGTGTGTTTTACTATGTGAACATGCAGCTTTGTATTGCTCTGCTGGGCAGAGCAATACAAAGCAGCATGTTCGTGTTGACAGGGGAGATATCTGTGTTGTTTACATACAGACCTCTCTCCTGTCAGCTCCGCTGAAGATCACCGAGTCCCGGCTGAGAATCGGTGGCCAGGACCTGGTGATTGAGCCAATAGCAGCGCAGGCAGGGAGCGTGCACACCACCTACCCGGAAATGCAAATCACACACATATATATATATATATACGTGAATTTGTGCATCCCTGCCACCCTGTAGCAGTACTTCTGCTATAGGGACGTTGGGAAGCCGCTAAACTGCACTAAACCTTTTATCCACCCAATACATTAGTTATATTGAAAAGCTAGTGTGAGTTACAAAAACTGGTAGGAAAAAAGCGGTGGGCTTAACCTTTTTTCTGGGAGAGCCATTTTTGCATTTTTTGCACATTTTTGGCCTGAAAATTAGTTAAAAGCATTTTATACTGTCTGAAAATAGAGACCCTGAAGAATAAAATAGATGTAATTTTTTATATCACATGATGTTAGCACAGCAGTTTATCAAACCCATAATTTATGTAAAAATACACTAAAAATACACTCAGGGTGGGATGCTGGACATGTTGCCACACCTACTGATGTGATCAGGCAGCTTTGCAGACACCTATATTGCTTCCACAAGAAAGCCAAAAGTTGGCTGAGGAAGTACACACATATTGTAGCTGCCACCTGCCAGGAGTGTGTGTAAATGCCACTGCTGCCATTACGTCAGTGGCAGCAATAGGGTTAAAGTATATGTACACCCTAACAATGATGTTCTCTTATTTGCTCCCTTTTTGGTTTACTGTTTTGTCATGTCAGACATTCAGAGCTGTCCTATGAACACTCCCTGTGTTATCCCAAGGAGAGTATTTAGCCCTGTCAGTTTATCTCTAGACTACAGAATTGTATGTTGTGGAGATGAGGACAGTGGGAGGAATGTAGTACTTTAGCGCCTGCTGTGTCCTCCGGACACAGCGGAACACCGATCGCTGTACGGGACCTCTGTGTGAGGTCTGGATCATGTGAGCACTGATTGCCCAATCAGTGATCACATGAATATTAGTAAGCAAGATGTCACTTCTGACATCATTGCTTACTAGTGAAATCTGTGAATGAGCACAGAGGTCACATGGTGCAAGGCTAATCACAACAGCCTTCACAACAGCACAAAGTATTTCTCAATGGCTGCAAGAATTGCCAGAGAGAAGAAATGATTGCTTTTACAGCCTTTATGGGTGTAAAAGCAATCAGTGTAAAAAAAAAAATCTTCATCACCCCCCACAAATAGTATAGTGTCACTATGGTGACACTGTACTGCTAGGATGACGGTATGTTAAAAAAAAAAAAAAAGATTTATGAAGAAAGATTATTTATTTGCAAAATTCTATAAGAAAAACACTTTTTTTTCAAAATGTTTGGACTTTTTCATTTATATAGCAAAAAAATAAAAATCCCAGTGGTGAAAAAATACCACCAAAATAAAGTTTTATCTGTCTCAAAAACATTCTAAAAAAATTCATATGGGTACAGTGTTGCATGACTTCGCAATTGTCATTCAAAGTGTGATAGCACTGAAAGCTGAAAATTGGCCTGGACAGGAAGGGGGTGAAAGTGTCTGGACTTTAAGTGGTTAAGCAATCATTTTTTACCCCATTAATTCTCAGTGACTGTAACTTTTAGGGAGACGTGAAAGAATCTTTGTTCATGCTGTATTATGCTTGTTTTTAGTACTTTTGAATACATTCTCCTTTTTATGTGGATGTTAAGAGGATGTCACTAACAGCAATCACTTTTAAAATCTGCTTTACCTTTGATTTGCCTCTACACACACATAATTGCTTCCTGGACTTACTGTTTTGATGATTTCATCACTAAAATCCTATTTTTCTTCAGCCAAATTAGGACTTAGGCTCCATGCACACTAGCGTTTTTTTAAGGACCTAGATGATGTTATTAGCATATTGTTTTCTGCTCCTAGAAGCTAAATAGTGTTATCCTATGTGTCCATGCACACTATTTTAGGCTATTAGCGTTTTTTGAGCTTCAGCGCTTAGGAGCAAAAAAAAAAATAGTTTTTGTAGAGTTTTTTAGAGCATTTTTTCCAGCAGAAAAAAATACCAAATGCTGCTAAACTCTACTAAAAAGCTCCTAACACCTTTTTCCAGCTTTTT